TGCTCCTGCGGGCCTTCACCACGCCAGAGCTTTACGGCCCGGCCAACTCAGCCAACGACGACAATGTGAAAACCCCGAGCGCAACCGACACTAGCAACCCGAGCACAACACCTCTCTCGGACATGTTCAGAATCGAGAGGTTACTGACTGTCAAGGTGACCGAAGCGAAGATGTTCGGCAGTAAAAGCGCGGATGACACACCTCGGAGTCGGAAGCAGTCCCGTTCTCACTTTACTACGACCACAGCACCCGCTACCAACGATTATTACACGGAGGTACTCTTAGATGGGGAAATCCGAGCGAAGACCGCTATCAAATATCGTACACCTAACCCATTTTGGCGGGAAGAATTTACCTTCAATGATCTTCCTCCAGTCCTATCTCAGGTTTCGATTATGGTGAAAACTCTCAATCCAACCCAACGCGATTGGTCATTAGTGGCGCATGGCGCATATGCTTTGAATCAGGACACAAACCCCACCCGTCTATTGGATGACGTTGAGGTATCGTCTCAAGACGCCATGTGTGGAAGGGTGGATATCAAACTAGACGACCTGGAACCAGGCATCGAGAATGAAAAGTGGTGGCCCATTCTGGATGAGAGGGGCCAATGTGTTGGTGAGATGTTGATGAAAGTTCGGATGGAGGAGACGGTTGTGCTTATGTCTCATGAGTACACGCCGATGTCCGAACTTCTCCATTCGTTCTCCAACGGTCTTACCGTGAATATGGCCCAAATCATGTCATCCGAACTGAACCAGCTGTCTGAAGCACTTATAAATATCTACCAGGTGTCAGGAACCACGGTGGAATGGATATCAGCGCTTGTTGAGGACGAGATTGATGGTATTCACAAAGAGTCTACGGCGAACAGACTCCGGTATACGACCCGGCTCCATTCCAATGACACCCGAGAAACCGGCCAGGAAAGGGAGGTCCTTGTTCGCGATCTAGGACGCACCGCAACAGTAGAGGCCAATCTTCTCTTCCGAGGGAACTCTCTGCTCACAAAAGCTCTTGATTACCACATGCGTCGATTGGGCAAGGAATACCTAGAGGAAACGATTGGTGAACGACTTTACGAAATCGATGAAACCGACCCTGAATGCGAAGTTGACCCCTCTCGGATACATCGAGCAGACGACCTCGAGCGCAATTGGAAAAACCTGGTGAACCTTACTACGAGTGTTTGGAAATCGATTGCTGGATCTGCGTCACGATGCCCATCGGAGCTGAGACTCATCTTTCGACATATTCGAGCCTGCGCCGATGATCGCTATGGTGATTTCCTCCGCTCGGTCACCTACAGCAGTGTCTCTGGATTCCTTTTCTTACGGTTCTTTTGTCCCGCAATCCTTAACCCGAAGTTGTTTGGATTGTTGAAAGGTATTTCCAATATATTTCTTTTTGTGTTCTTCCACCATCTGATTATTTACTAATGCATCTTCAGATCATCCACGCCCACGCGCCCAGCGTACCCTGACACTGATCGCTAAAGCTTTACAAGGCTTGGCCAATATGACTACTTTTGGAAGCAAAGAGCCTTGGATGGAGCCGATGAATAAGTTCTTGGTCGGTCACCGATCTGAGTTCAGAGAGTTTGTGGATTCAATTTGTGCAATCCCGGCTGACCGGCCGGCTCCGATTGTTACGCCTTCCTATGCCACTCCAATCCAGATTCTTGGCCGTTTACCGTCTCCCTCACGAGAGGGATTCCCCAGCCTTCCCTTCCTCATTGACCACGCGCGGAGCTTTGCCAATCTGATAAGGATATGGCTAGAAGTTTCACCACCGAGGCTAGCTGCGCTGGAAGAGGTAGATAATGCCATTGCGCAATTCAATGAAATCGCAATCCATCTACAGCAACGGACCAAAGAATGCTTAAGCAGGGCAGAACAGGCAGAGCGTCCCAGTGGTAATCTAGAGATAAAGTGGGAGGAACTGGTCGACTCTCTGGAACGTTCTGTGACCTTGTCCGAAGAGTCCTCGTCCAAACCCGCTACTCCCGCTCCAGCTCCGACTTCCGTTTTAGGGTCTGAGACCGTCGTATCAGGGGCAGCATCTCTTACCGGGAGCCATCGCAATTCCATCGGCTACTTTGCATCTAGACCCTCCTTGCCTCGCCGTTCCACTGATTATGCTCCTGAAGCCGACGAGGAGACACCGCCAAGCTCGTCGTCTGCCACCTGGGACCATGCCAGGGTGCCTTTCTCAATACCAAGATGGTCAGAACCCCGAGATAGCACTGGGAGCTCTAAAAACTCCTCAACCTACTCGCTTGATTATCCCGATGCTTCCAAGTCTCGTCGGTCTAGCATGACCCGGGAGACAACGAGCAAATACGGGAGATTTTTTGATTTCGTACCTGCACCTTCCAGACGCAAGGGCAAAGACCGTGACACCAACCAGCAGCAATCACGCGAAGAACTACGGAACGAATTTTGATGACCATCACTATTCACTCCCTTGGCGCCAATACCTATCATATTCTGGCTGCCGCTGCTCATAGACCAACCAATTTTGGCTAAAACGAAGGCAAAAAAGGACAAATACCTGGAACAAATCCCTTTCATTTGTTTTGTACAACATGGGGGAGATTTGCACTTACTGAATCTTGCATCTTCTGGTGTATATGCTTTACATCCAGGCCTTCTCACTATATCTTTACCTCTCCACCATATATGCTACCTCACGATTAACGCTCTTCTTTTTGTGTGTTTTTTTCCCTCTCTTTTGTTTTATTGATCTCGTTTGGAAAGCATTTTTTCATGGTGTTGATACCCTGTTCTGATGGCTGTATTTTGCCTATGTCTATGTCTGTGTAAGAGAGGGATGGAAGATCAAGAGAGCCCCAGCGAGAAATCGCAGACAGAAAGCTGGAGAGTTGTGATACTCTTTACCTACCTTTGTGCTTTTGTGAATACAATGGGTGATTCTGTATCTTTGTGTGTGTAAATATTCTGCAAATTCTTTCTGTTGGCATAGACGAAATGAGCATGCGATTCTGACGGTTAGACGGTTTTCCTACTCTATCCTTCTATACAGTCTGAATGCCAAGTAGAAATTCACTGTCTCTTGTCCCCGTGGCGAGATATGCGGATACAATACGATGTCTTTCTTCAATCCCTCAATAAGTGAAGCACGTTTTGAATTACTTATGCACAAGTAAAGCACGATATCTAGTTGAAAACCTGCACTATGTATATGATTTCTCTAAGAGTTGCGTGTAATTATTCCAATGTCTATATATATTACAATTGTATACAGCCCATAACTAAATTAGTGTATCACTCACTACCTTCTTCAGCTTCCTGTTTTTGTATAATCTGGTCATCCGAGAAAGCAAGCCATCTCCCCAAGTATCCTCTCCAGTTAACTGGCGGAAGGCCTTGCGATTGGGTGGGTGATCCCACCATGGTTGATCAGATGGTTGATCCCTTTGCCGCCGCCTCAAATCACGTTGTCGTTCTTCTACAATTGAGTTGATAATGGTAATTGTCCCCGCCGTTGGGTTGACACCCGTTAGCTCCATTTCGCGCAGGAGGGTGACCAAATCCGCGATATCATGTGTGACGCGCCAGTGAAAGTAGATCATGTCGTTGTATAGTTGGGCTGAGAGGCCGAGGGTGGCTGATTCGCGGCCTAACGAGGTGACCTTTGCCCTAAACTCACTGACTAGATACGAGTCTGGGAAGTGGACGTTGAGAAGGGCGAATGCGGTACGGAGGACTCGTGGGTATACTGCTACCACGACAGATTCGATGGGGACGCATGGGGGGACTTTGAGAGGAGATTCAGGTGTCTTGGACCTGCGACTGGGTTTAACTGCTTGACCAGATACGGGCGTCTCATCTTCACGCCGTAGGTGCTGCGCCATGGAGAAAACATGGGTCTGGCATAGTTTCCAAAATTTGCCTGGCATGATTTTTTCTTCAACAGCAGCGTGTAGAATGGAATTGATTCTGGTAGTTTCCCGCGCAATGACCAGTTCAATTGCGTTGGCCAGAGTCATCTCGTTTTTGTTTAGGAGCTCCGCTAGCTCCTCGTCGGTGTCGGGTAGATGGAATATTTTGTTCTGGGTCTTTATTGCGTCTTCCTGGCTCTTCGCATCTAACACTTTGCCTTCCTCGGCGTTGTGTTTATCGTTGCGTTGGACCTCACGATCTTTCCGCTTCTGCACATCCCGCAAAACGACATCAAAGATAGCAGAGATCTCCGACATTTCACTTTCCTCTGCCTTCTTTGCCTCTATCTGGTCTGCCTCTGCCTCTGCCTCCACCTCTGCCTCCGACTTTTCTGATTCTTGCGGCGACACTTGTCGGCGCTTTTCAGATGGAAGTTTCAAAAAGAGCTCCGCGAGCGTGCGAGACTCATGGGTGGTCAACTTTGGCCTTGGTTTCCACTTTGGCTTTTGTACAGGCTTCTTGTCTGATTTCGCATCCAGAGCGCGCTTATGCTTGGCCACAGAGGCACCTTTTCTTCGTAAGAATGACCTCCCAGGGGAAGGAGGAGGTGATTCGGTACGATCATCAGACCCCCAGGATTTATTATCGCTCGGTCCGATAGAGTCGTCATTTCGCGATTGGTTAAGTGATTTGATTGAAGGCGAGCTGGGGGCATCGGAGGTCGAGTAGCTTGAGCATCGGAGAGGCGGAGAGCTTAATGAACGAGGTCTAGTAGGCGTGAGAGTCGTTGTTTGGTAAAGAAAGGGTGTTAGAGAATTGCGAGCAGCTTGTACCTGGGTCTGGACCAGCCAGGCCAAAGCTATGCGACGCTGGATGCTCATCTCTGCGTCCGCTATTTGTCGCATGGAACTTTTTTTTCTCCGCGGCAGATTAAATGGAGGTCGATAACCGCACGTGACTACGTGGCTGCCTGGACGCGTTATTCTTTTTCATCCGCGACGGCGAACGAGAACAAAGGCGTCGCAAAACCCACCAATTCCTTCCTTCTGAACAGACTTGCGAGTGGCATTAGTGTATCCGTCACATTTAGCGACCATGGGCGAAGAACTCTCCGAATTCGAAAAGCAACGTCTTGCCAATATCGCAGAACGCGATGCGCTTCTCAAGAAGCTCAGCCTTGACGCGCAATCGGCGGGGGTCTTCCCTCCTAAGATGCCGCGAGGTACAACCGGTGATCAATCGAAACCGAAGAAGAAGCCTGCGCCGAAGAAAATAAAGAAGGAAGAGTCTCCACTACCTCGTCGCACATCTTCGCGATTGAAGGGAATCGCGGCGGATAGCGAGGTTGCGAAACGAAAAGCGGATGACGAGTATGATCGCAGGCAGGAGGCAGAGAGGGCGAAGAGGGTCCGGAAGTCGGACTCCTTCTCTTTCAATGACATATTTGTGTCGGGCCAGAAATTGTCTGGAGATGCGTTGATTGGTGTGGATGTGGTTACCAAGGGAGTCGCAGTGCCCTACCAGCGAACATTCGGAGAAGATGACATCAAATCGACCGATGACAAGGATTTGAAGGCTCTTAGGAAAGAGATGAATGGGTTAAGCCTCTGGGAACCCTGGGAACCTAACCGTATGCTACCTTGCTTGTCTTTCCCGCGCAATTGACAGATACTGACTATGGGCGGACCATATAGGTATCAAGCTCACACCCGAGAGAGTATACACCATGACATTCCACCCGTCAGAGGCCAAACCGTTAATATTTGCCGGAGATAAAATGGGCCATCTCGGGATTCTCGACGCCTCCCAGGAGAAGCCTGTCTCCGCCGTAAAGAATGAAGACGAAGACGAAGACGACGAAGACCCAGACCCAGTGCTTGTTACACTCAAACCTCACACGCGAACTATCAGCTCAATGACAATCCATCCCTCGAAGCCCACACACCTTTACACTGCTAGCTACGACAGCTCTATCCGAGAGATGGACCTTGAGAAGACTTCATCGGTTGAAAAGTACGCACCGGAGTCTACAGCAGAAGACGTCCCCATTTCCGGCCTTGACATGGCCGCCTCGGACCCCAATATAATATACTGGACCACCCTAGATGGCGCATTCGGCCAATACGACATGCGCACCAAGCGACAAAGCTCTGCCGCTACCTGGCAACTGTCAGAGAAGAAAATCGGCGGCTTCTCCCTCTACCAAACACACCCTCACTACTTTGCAACAGCCAGTCTTGACCGCACCATGCGCCTGTGGGACCTCCGCAAGCTCTCTCATACCGATCCCACCCCTATCGGCGAACACCAAAGCCGCCTTTCAGTTTCACATGCTGCTTTCAACAGCGCAGGACAAATAGCAACGTCTTCTTACGACGATACGCTCAAAATCTACGACTTTAGCACCAAGGGAATTGCTACCTGGAAACCAGGACACGCCCTTGACGACTCCAAGATGAAACCCGATACCGTTGTACGGCATAACTGCCAAACTGGACGATGGGTTACCATGTATGTCTTCATTTATTATCTTCGAAGTTCCCCGCGAATAACGCTAATGTACATTCTTATAGTCTGCGCCCTCAATGGCAACTTAATCCACAATCATCAATCCAACGGTTCTGCGTTGGAAACATGAACCGCTTTGTAGATATCTACAGCGGTTCAGGAGATCAGCTGGCACAGTTAGGAGGTGATGGTATTACGGCTGTCCCTGCTGTTGCCGTTTTCCACAGAAGCAAGAACTGGGTTGCGGGCGGAACGGCAAGTGGGAAGATCTGTTTGTGGATGTAATTATTCCCATCTAGCTAGTTGCTTCATTTTTCAGCTGGGCTATTTAATGTTGGAGTATAAGACATGCTTCAGTTACTGTTTGTGTGAACATGACTTTGATTTTGGTTCTCGTAACGTCATTGTAGGCGACACGACACTAATACAGAATACAACTATGTGAATCATTTAGTTAATGATGGCCCAACTAATCAAGGCTCCTATTGATAGCCAGAAAAGGAAAGACGGCGTTATTCCGTCCGTCACTGTCCATTGCAGTTATAATCAACAAGCTATAACCGAAGATTTAAAAAGGATATAATACACATAGTTCTTCGAACCACACCACACCTACATGTTAGAAATACAACAGCATCGTACTCGACTAAACGAGATTAAAATCAAATCTTCAGTCCCCAACTCCGCCCCAGGCCTACGGCCGTCGTCCCCATGAATCCCAAGCACTGCTTTGCACCACTGAGCTTATCCCCAATGGCTTTGCTATCCTCAACCCGCCGAGTCACGAATGCCTCTGTGGCCGAGAGATCGGGGCTGGAGTCTTGGGTCATGACCACTTCGGCAGAGGCATAGATCGCACTAACGGAGAGACGCTTCGTATACCAGGACGCATCGACGGAGGTGTCGCCCGCTAGATGGAGGATATCCGAGGAGAGGGCGTGCAGTTCTGAGAGGGAGAGCGGGATATTCGAGGGCATGGACATGAGCGCTAGAGCCTGTTGGTTTTGGTTTATAGTTAGACTTGTTTCTTTCCTTTCTTCTTTTTGTTTCACATACATCTTGCCATTTATGTCGAATATCCGAATTCATCCGCAGCCGCTCCATGATCAGTGCTTTGGTTTTGTCCTCAACGGAGAGGGATTGAGATCCCGCTAGGAGGCCTTTCTGCTCAACGGCCGCGCGGAGAAGACCTCGTCGACTAGCGAGCCAGAATAGGATGAGGTCGAATTCGCCGCGGGGGAGGAGCTGGATGGAGACGTCTAGGAAGCCCGTGTCGCGGGCGCCGAGGGTGAGGGCGTCCCGGGTGAAGCCGAGGGAGGGAACATGCTTCAGGGCAGCGGTGAGAATAGTTGTTTGCGAATTGGTGTATTCATGTGGCGGGGGGTCGGGGTGATGGTGGGAGTGGTAGGCACGGTGGTTAGGAGAATGGGATCGGAGTGCGGGTTGACGGAGGTGTTGTTGGTTGCGGGAGATTGGCGCGGTGATGGATGGGAGGAATGTTTTCTGAGAGCAACGGGAGGAGGAGAGAAGTGGACTGCGACAGGATCGCAGAGGGCGGAGGAGGGGACGTGACATTTCGAGGGAGTGGTGGTGTGGTTGGTTGGTTGAGGAGATCGAGTCGGGGATTCTGAATAGCATCGAATGATGGTGTTTTTTGTAAGCGGTTGGAGCTGCTTTCAAGCGGCGGCCAGGACAGAGCCAAGAATAACTACAAAGGATGTTTACAAAAGGATTACAAAACGCTACAAATGCCCTGATTATTTGAATTAGCAGTATACTCTGATCGATGCATAGTCGTTTTTATCAGTTCTCTAAAAATCAAAAAGGCCAAAAAGTTGGCATGACTGGGGTTCGACCGAAAGATCTCGATGGTGGGCCGACGGGACAACGCAACCCACTCGGCCATTTCAGCCAAAAGACCGAGAATCGCAATCCTGGAAATCACCAGCCAGATGGCCGCGACGAGGCCAGCTGAAGCTACAAGACATGTCAAACGATGGGCATCCCTGTAACCCCGATTACAATTGAAGTTAAATACAGTTGGCGAACTAGAAAGCCAAGTCACAATTTCTCCGTTAATCTATTGTACACAACCAAAGTGGGCCGCCGCCGACGACGCAGCAGTTTCAACTGTCAATAGTCAGTTCATAACACCGGATTCGACTTCAGAGAGATTCAAACAGAATCTTATCTGACAGCTTTAAACACGCCAGTTCCTCCAACTCCTCGGCCTCTCTCCTTCCTCCTCCCTCGCCAATTGGGTCTTTCGCAGCATCGCCTCGCAAGGATCCGGAATCCAGGCCTTCTCTCGCCGTCAAATCAAGCATCGTCACCCACGCCTCTGCCTCTCTCCTCCATCCTTCCTCTCCCCTTCTTCCCTTTCTCCCATTTGCTTGCCAGACTCTCCGACCACCTCTTCGATCAACATGGGTATGTGTTTTCAAGCTTCTCTCTTGCGGCGTCGACTGTTGTCGCCTTTCGCGCCATGTCCGCAGTGCCTGTGATTTCGATCATACTTTCTGATCTGACTGCATCTTTGGTTCCTCCATTCCCCAGCCTTATCCCTCCCCACTCCCCTACAACTTACTGCTGTCTATTATTATTCCTCCGGTTTATTATTATCCCCCCTCTTTTTCCCAGGGCTTGGCTGCAATTGCTCCTCATCGAGAGACCAGAAGCCGGTGCGACGGGGACCTTGGGCTGCCTTTTCTCCCAGCTTTCCCTTCCCCTCCTGCCACTTGATCCTACCTGACTTTCCCATCCATCCCTTCTCCAACGCAGCCCAGTCAGTGACTGCTGCATCTCGGGTTTCTGCGGGAACACCAATCAACTTGTGGCGTGCGTACTGCTTGAGCCGTCTGTCAGACACTTCCCTCCCCGAGCTGCGCAGCTTGTCCTGTAGCTGTGCTTTCTTTTTCGCTGCACACTCTCCCCCTTCCTCCCCCGCTGTCCTCCTCGTTGCCCTCGATCCTTTCTCTTTTTCCTTCCTCCCCTTCTCCCCCCCTCCCCTCCATCTTTTGCTTTCTCCCTGTGTGGTGTTGCGTGCGACTCATCTTGACCACTCCACCTTCATCATTTCTAATTTCCGTCCTGCTATCATTCTGCTGCCTCGCGTTACAACGCATTAGACTTGTGGCTTACACCTAAGGCGAACTGTAGCCGACGTTTATCGACCATACGAAGTAAGTTGCATCGTTCTATTTCCTCTTCCCTTGGCGATCTTCCCCTGTGGTGAAAATTTGCCCTGCTCCTGTCTCAGAAATGCGACACGACGCCCCCCTCACCTTCCGACTGCTTCCCGACACCATGGGCCCGGTAGGCGACTTGACTCCTCAGTCAGTCCCTTGGAAGGTGTCGCTGCATCCCTCTGTTTCTCTCATGTACCCTGGCGGATATGCGACACGGGTTTCGTTTGTTCTTTCGCTCCTGTATTCTCTGCTCTGTTGCGCCTATACAGTTTGGGACTTTTGCGCTAGGGCCGCCTCGGAAGCGCCCTATCCCCCGGGTCCTTTCTGCGGTGCCTCTAATATGGAGCCCCCTCTGCCCCATCCTGTCACATGACCCGGACTCCGAAATCGCGCACCCAAGGTTCACCTCTGCGTAGATCCAGGTCGCAAGTCACAGCTCCAAGTCATCCTAGCCTTTTCCCCCGCCCTGTCCCTTTCTTTTGGTTTCCGTTTCTCCTTCTCTTTTAATCTTTAATTCTCGTCTTTCGCCGCATCCAATGCCTGCCGGCGACTACGATTACGATACTGACCGCGCGCAGCGTGAGAGGTCCCGTTCCCCCCGTCGTCGATCTCGTAGCCCTCGACGAAGCCGCCGTTCGTATTCGCCACGCAGTCGATCTCGAAGCCGGGATCGTGACGATTATCGCCGCAGCGATCGCCGTTCTCGCTCTCCTATGAGTGCTGCCCAAGGCCCTTCAGGAGGTCATTCAGGCTCGGGATATAGTGGTCGTGGTGGTAGCTACCCGCCTCCGCCTAGGTCTTTTGAGGATCGTGCTGTCGCCAAAGAACAAATGATGCAATCCGTGCGCGAATCATCCCAGCAAGACCGCCGGGTCTATGTGGGAAACCTTTCCTACGATGTCAAATGGCATCATCTTAAAGATTTTATGAGACAGGGTGAGCAGGGTCACATCGTGTCGGCAGTGCGATGAGCATTTTTTCTATTTATGGGATTGGAATTTGTGGCTGACTTTGGGGGATTCTCTTTCCGCGCCGCTTACAGCTGGAGAAGTTATCTTTGCCGACGTCTTGCTTCTTCCCAATGGAATGTCGAAGGTGGGCGCCAATGCGTAGCGTGACTGGTTTTCTTTCCTTTTTTTCATTTGTTTCTGGCTTCTTCCCTTTTTTTCACCCCCGTTGGTTCGATTTGCTTGGACTGTTTGGGTTGACGGGCTGGGCCTGGCTGTCCGGGATTATTGTAGGGATGCGGGTAAGTTATGCGCCGTGCTCTATACCCTCCCTTTTTACAGAGCTAACCGTACGCTAGGATTGTGGAATACGCTACGAGGGAGCAAGCACAAAATGCTGTCAACACGCTCAGTAACCAGAATCTGATGAACCGCCTGGTCTATGTCCGCGAGGTACGCAATACATTCCCCATGATCAAATCGAGAAAGAGGTTAACGACCTTCCTACTCATAGGACCGGGAGCCCGAGCCTCGTTTCTCGGGTGGTCCTTCCCGCGGAGACTTTGGTGGCCCCGGCCGTGGTGGGTTTGGCTACGGTGGCGGTGGTGGTGGTGGTGCCGGCGGCGGTGGGAGACAGCTCTATGTATCCAACGTACGTGCTCCCCTCTCCATCAACTACGATATGGTGCCATCTACGAAGGCATGTGTATTGATGATTTTTGCAATCTCTAGCTCCCATTCAACGTTGGCTGGCAAGATTTGAAGGATCTTTTCCGCCAAGCAGGTAAGCCCAGGATGCCAGGCTTGACTCTGAACAGTTTTAACTGCTCCCTGCCATCTACCCCAGTCCCTCAAATCATCACATTGGTTCAATATTGACATCATTTGATACAGCTCAGCAAGGTACCGTCATCCGCGCCGATGTCCATACCGACGCCTCTGGTCGCCCCAAGGGCTCTGGTATCGTTGCATTTGAGTCCCCCGACGACGCCCGCAACGCAATCCAACAGTTCAACGGATATGATTGGCAGGGGCGCCCCCTCGAGGTTCGTGAAGACCGCTTTGCAGGTTCAGGACCTGGCATGGGTCGTGGCGGCTTTGGCGGTGGGTTTGGTGGCCGTGGCGGTTTCGGTGGTGGCCGTGGAGGCTTCGCCGGCCGTGGTGGCTTTGGCGGTGGTGGTTTCCGAGGAGGCTTTGGCGGTGGTTACGGTGGTCCCCCCACTGGGCCTGGCTTCGATCCCGGTCCCTCGGTGCCCCCCAACCCTTTCACCGACTTCGCTACATCCGGAGGTGAAAAGAGCGATGTGATCTATGTGCGCAATGTGAGTATTTCGAGCATAAACAGTGATCATTACCGCCCCTGACGCGCAACAGCTGCCCTGGTCCACATGCAACGATGATCTGGTGGATCTGTTCTCGACTATCGGCAAGGTCGAGCGCGCCGAGATCCAGTACGAGCCTAATGGCCGCTCTCGCGGCACTGGTGTAGTCCAATTTGATAGTCCTGACACAGCAGAGACTTCAATCGGTACGTTTTTTTCCCCTTGAGATATCGCTGAGATCACACTAACGCAGCGACAGCCAAGTTCACCGGCTATCAGTATGGCGGCCGTCCCCTTGGCATTACCTTTGTCAAGTATTTGACCCCTCAGGGCCCGGGCGACGTCATGGATGATGAGCCTACTGGCGGAATCACCCAGGACCAGATCATGTAATTATAGCGGAATTTTCTCATGCTTTGTTCTCCCTTCGGGATTAACTTGAAGGGTCGAAAAAAGTCTACGAAGTGCTTTCGGGACCACGGGATGGTTTATGGGATATTGTGATCTGCCTTTGAATTTCTCAACGTACATGTAGCTGTTTATTTGCTCCCACGATGTTAGTCGCTATGTTTGGGCGAACGGAACTAGTGGAATAAATGGGGTTATGTACTGCGTTCATTAACCTTATTTGGTGACAGTTACTGGTATACGTTGTGTAGCCAAACCACGTTCTTGAAAGATTCTACTTATTTACCTTTGTTCTGGTGAAAAACTATACCTGTGTTATTCTCATATCGTCACCCCATAAGCCTTCACGGCGACACCCCCCCAAAACCCTCGTCTTTGGTCTTCGTCTAGTCCTCTCTGATCCAAAACACCTTGAACAACCCGACTCCAGCGGCCCCAGGTGACTTTATTTCCGCCACCTCCCACATTGCAGACTGGCCAGTCAGAGCCAAACATTACTCTCTCAGGGCCAAATGCATCGAAAACGACATCCGTCCACGGCTGGAGCTTCTCGACGAGAGACGCAATGTCCGGATCGAAATCTGGGGAAAGAGACGGTAGTTCAGAGAATGCACCAGACAGCTTCATATATGCAGTTGGATGCTGCGCCATGGCTGTGACCTGGGCCTTCCATTGCAGAAAGTCAGGGTGCGTGGTGACAGGAGTAGTAGACTCGAGACGGAGGTTCGGTTTACACATGTGGTCTATTGTAGTACAGATTAGCATCCAAAGGAAGTAGATATCCGGTGGAAGAAGGGAAAGGGAATCCAACACCACTTACTGATCACGATGGTAACTCTATCCTTCTCCTCGACTCCCTTATAGACCCTCCTCATCATCTCAACTGCTTCCTCCAGTTGCCAAATCCCACCTTGCCTCGCATCCACCCCAAGATCAAACGTGAGACCCTGCCGTCCCAACCACTTCAACCCTTCAATAAAGTCCGGTTGCAGCATAACCCCCGCAGGCTTATCCTGCACTAAATACCGCACCCCACGGATCTTGCCCCATACCTCAGCCGACTCAGCACCGGCCCTCTCTCTTACCAGCGCCATATATTTCTCCAGCGCACCCGGTCCACCAGGCACAGGCGCCCACGGGACAATCCCCAGACAAAGCCCGCGATCCTCAGCACTATGCCCTTCCCCGGGAACAGGCTTTCCAGCGGCAATCCGGGCTAGAAGGGAGACTTCATCTAGGGCGTGGGTCCATCCATGTGCGCCACCAGCACCCGATTCCGACGGCTCTTCAACGGACGAGAGGCGGTCTGTCTCGAGGAATATAAAGCCGCGCAGTGTGGAAGCAGTAGCTCCCGCTTCCCTTGTTGCTTGTCGGTACTGGTCGACTGAGTGCTGGGAGCCCAAGGGGCCGGGGTTGGAGGGTGTATACCAGGTTAATGTGGGGAGGTGGGATTCGGGGAAGAGGTGGATGTGGGAGTCCACGATTGGAATGGGGGGTGGCATTTGTGGTGGATTTGTTAGCTGGAGATTTAGAGGTTGGGTTTGGTTTGGACAGTCTTTACAGGCGTTGGGCGAAGAGAGGATGGTATATGAATATATAAAGTTCGGCTGTCGGGGGTAAATTCATCGAGGATTTACCCGTCGGGCGTTTTTAGACCGAAGAGACGAACGGATAAAGTAACATCGTGGTGCTATTGGTGTAGGAGCTGATGTAGGGACCTGCTGGGTTTTGGAGAACAAGGTACTCAATTCTTAGAGCATATAAGAATAGAGAGACTCTGTAGTGGCGATCATGCCTTTGCTGTCTTTTCGCTCCTCTTGGAACGAATCGTCAGCACCGTGGCCAGAGAACCGGTTGTGATGATGCTCACTGAACAACCTCAACAACAACATGAGAGATCTGTCCCAGAAGTCCTTATATCGTCCTGAAGAATCATCAATGCGCAGTTTGCTACATGATGAGAATTTTGGTAGGCAATCTTAGAATCTCATGACGAGGGAGACGGTTTATACGTGCGCAAATCATACGATAAGGAGTCCTCTGGGGAAAAGCTATTTGGCTGTCCGGCATGAGATAGAGGAGTGTTGAGGCGCTGGAGACCAGGGTACTCAATCCAAAGAGATACAAAAGCAGAGCGATTCGTGGTGATTAACTCTGCCTGTCTCTCGATTGTCTTCTTTTCCTCTTACCCCGCCATTCGACCCCCTCCATCGATATAAACTACGCTGCAATCGATGTATATCATTATTGTTGAGCTACCACCGCGATGATTCCGTCCAAAACCAGCGACCGCAGCCCAAAGCCAGCATCACAAAGCCTGTCAAACACCCCCCTGATGATGATGATAATTGCCGTGAAACACTGGCAGCCGAAGCCGAGGTAGATGCATGCAGGCCCCAGCGACTTCTCGGCTGCAAACACCCCTCATTCTGCGCGTCGCATGAGCTTATTGGGTCGCGCGTAAGTGGTGGGTGCCCTGAACTATCTGCGTCACAGACGTAGTTACGCTGAAACTCGGCAAGCTGAATGCGCTGGTTGCTCCACTGTTTCCCTTGGTAAGGCCACCTTCCCCTCCTGGGGCGGAGATCAGATTCCCCTCATCCCATATTCGCGTCCAGAGCTCCGAGTTGGGTGGGAGATCAAACGTCAATGGCCAGCTATTGTCAAATAATTGACTTGGCGTCGCACCGTCCTGGATACATAAAGAGGGGTGGGAACCGTCGCTTCGGAGTTTTTTGGTTCTTTGCCTTTTTAACATACTACTCTTCTTGAAATCAACCGCCTCTTTACTACCCCTCATCACAAAACGACGAAGAGACTCTGGTCTTGACCGATATGGCGGCTCCAGATATCCCCAAGAAGCAGAAGGCTGCCATCTATGACAGCCCCGGCTCCGTCTCTACTAAGATCGTCGAGTTGGATGTCCCTGAGCCTGGTGATAATGAAGTCTTGATCAATCTGTGCGTGAAACCTCCCGAGAAGCTCCTTGATAATCTCGACACTTGGGTGTTGATCTCGAAGTGATCCAAGCTAATTCTAATATTTTGTGTGTAGCACTCACTCTGGCGTGTGTCACTCCGATCTTGGTATTATGACCAACACGGTATGTAGCCCTGCAAGCTCCCATGCCCTCATTCGCATTCTAATCGAATACCTGCAGTGGAAAATTCTACCATTCCCTACTCAGCCCGGACAGGTCGGTGGCCACGAAGGTGTTGGAAAAGTGGTTAAGCTCGGTTCCCGCGCCGATGCATCAGGACTGAAGGTTGGAGACAGAGTCGGAGTAAAGTGGATTTCCAGCGCCTGCGGTCATTGCGGTAAGAAACGCCCCGTGAAACCTATAGTATTGGCTTATGAGCTTTCACTAACACTCCCGGCCAAAAGCCCCCTGTCAGGATGGCTACGACGGCCTCTGTTTCAACTCAAAGGTCTCCGGATACTACACCCCAGGCACATTCCAGCAATACGTCCTTGGACCAGCGCAATACGTCACCCCAATCCCCGAAGACCTCTCCTCAGAGGAAGCCGCACCCCTCCTCTGCGCCGGTGTGACCGTTTACGCCGCCCTCAAGCGCAGCAAGGCCCAACCGGGCCAATGGGTCGTGATCTCCGGAGCAGGTGGCGGTCTAGGTCACCTAGCGGTCCAAATCGCAAGCAGGGGCATGGGTCTGCGCGTTATCGGCGTCGACCACGGCAGCAAGGAAGAGCTGGTTAAATCCTCGGGCGCCGAGCACTTTGTCGATATCACCAAGTTCCCCAAGGACGACAAATTCGAGGGCATCTCCGAACACATCAAGTCCCTTACGACCAAAGGTCTAGGAGCTCACGCCGTTATCGTCTGCACGGCTTCTAACATCGCATACGCCCAGAGTCTGCTCTTCCTCCGGTACAACGGGACGGTTGTCTGCGTTGGTGTGCCCGAGAACGAACTCCAGGCTGTGGCTACGGCTTACCCTGGCTTGTTTGTTGGGAAGCATCTCAAGATCACAGGTTCGGCAGTGGGCAACCGGGCGGAGGCGATTGAGACGATGGAGTTTGCGTCGCGCGGGGTAATTAAGGCGCATTTCCGCACGGAGAAGATGGAGGCCTTGACGGATATTTTCAAGGAGATGCATGAAGGGAAGTTGCAGGGTCGTGTGGTTCTTGATCTTTCGTAGTCGGTGTATTTAACAATTTTTAATGCCCTTATGTTTATTATTTAAATGTTACCCATATGAATCCTGACCAACTGTTTACCGTATATCAGGTATATAGTAGAAAGAAGATAAATAACAATAATAGCTATTCGTAGGCAGGGTATCAGCATAGAGAAATGCGAACAAAAGCCGGACGCGAATATAGGTATACTTCAAAACGACAACTGCCGCCCTCGAGGCATAGCAAGTATAACCAGAGCAATAGACAAGACAGAGTCATCATATCGTATCATATCATATCATATCATATCATCTCATCCTCTTCCGACCCCTCTCACCATCCCTCTCTCCGTCCCCAGCCCTAGTAGCGCGTTTCCTAGTAATGCCCATCTTTGCAGCACGAACGATCCCAGCTAGCTTCAATATGAAACCTTTTGGCGCTCGGTTGACCTCAACCCTATGTAGAACCGCCTCCAGTCTCTCTTTGAATGGGTATAAGTCCTCACCGGCTAGATCTTCCAAAGCATTAAGGACGAAGTAATCGCCTGCGTTGTTGTCGTTGTCCGTCTTCCCGACGAGCTGGTGGTACAGGTTCCGCGAGTCTTCGTCCTCGCCTGAAAACGCAGTCCGGCCGTATTGGTTATCAGCAAGGGGATCTTTGTTGCGGGTGGTTATTTCTTCTAAGAGGTAGGTAAGAGCTTTGGCAGCACCTTGGAGGCCGTGTGGTGCTCGGGCGTGAATATTTTTGTGGATATTGAGGGCGTCTGTCTGTAGGGTTTCAAAAATAGTACCCAAACATGCTGAAGGATCGCCTTCGTCGTTCTTGGATTGCCCGAGTGTCTGACAGTATTTGTCAAATCTAAAAAGCGCACCCCTTAACCCCTCACGCGCTTTGTCAAAGTATATCGCTGCGCAGGCACCCGGGGGCATGGCCTTGCAGAGACTCGTGAACACGTTATCATCATGCACGGCGAGGCGGAAGAGCGTCGCTTCGAAGTCTCCCTGCACGACGCACTGTTCCGGTGTCCTTACTTGCAGAACACGGCCATTCTCATCTTCGGGCTCTGCCAAATCTATCCGGAACCTGTCGGGGAGGACGTCGGTGCTAAACGCGGACAGAATGTCCCGTACCCTCTGCGTCCGACTCATACCACCTTCTTTCCCCACGGAACGGAAATATGACCAGTTGAGTTCCTCCGCAAGATCTTGTAGTGTCATCGTTATTGTATCTTTGGAGAGAAGCTGTTCGATCCGTGAAAACCCCTGAGCGTGTCCGTCGCTGGTGAGTAGAACTGGGGAAGGAGGAGAGGCGGAGATAAATTGACCCCGGAGCTGATCGAGAAGCCACTACATATTTACTCATATTAGCAAGGCCTCCAAACAGCAAGCCATGCCTTGACGGAGTTGGCTCTTGAAGAAGAACTTGGAGGAGACTCACGAAAATATGTTGACAAGCCACATCAGCCCTCGACCGAAACACGGCACAGGTACACGTATATCTGTTCCCGGCATCGTTCATACCAGCCATGTGCTTCTCTCCGTCGAGGTGAGTCTGAAGCTCAATCCGAACCCGTACACGTTCTGCAAAAACAAACTCATACCCCGAACCCTCAAGCCCACAGAATAAAACGTCAAAGTCCGTCGTCAAGCCCAGGAGCGCCCTCGACTTCATTTCAACGTCGAATGCGGAATTGTCAAGATCGTAGACGAGTCCCGAGGGAGCCTCAATGGCAGCCGTATCTATGATCTTTCCTCTTCCCATTGTTGTTGTTGCCCCTCCCTGTGCTCCGCCTGGTGTAGGTCTCGAAGCTGTCTCTGTCTCCGCAGAGCCACGAATCGAAAGACCCTGAAACTGGCGCGCAGGCGCGGACATTGAGTCCCGCCAGTGGTAAGTAGCTGTTGAGTAGAAGATAAGGGATTGGAATAATTAAAATTTGCTTGGAATCAGGTCACTGTTTGGAACGATTTTCGGTGGCTTTTCCGGACCAGAAATCACGGCCATGGTGCGGGTCTGCCTCTGATGTAAATGGGTCTGATCTGTCTGCGTTGCGTGTTCATCCTCAATAACCCTCACCGTATTTTTCTTTGTTTCTGCACCTGGTGTCCATAGAGAGCTGAATAGGACAATTGAGCTGAGAGGGGCACGGTTCCTTCTCGTGGGTGTTTGCGACTGCGGTATCTCGTTTTCCCCCTGTGTTTGGACCTAGTTTGGCAGTGCCGCATGACGGCAGAAAGAGTGGAGTGGATCCAAAGAAAGACGAGGAACGGCTAGATAAACGGAGAGAGAAAATGGTTGGGAACGGTGATAGACAAGAAGGTCGACGCCGCAGCAGGGCGTACTCGAGGCTGTTTCCTCTTCAGTCGGTCTGGCTGTGGCACAGGCGGCGTCGGGATGGACCAAAACTCCGACCTCCTCAGGAAGAGCAGTAGCTTTCACTCGTAAACGAGTCATGGATTCTAGTGTCTTTGATTTTATAGATTACTTGGAAGAATACTCGTATTAATTATCAGTCTCGACTACTATAGCCTAAAGCCCTAACCCATCTATCTATACCGAAACACAGAAGAGACAGGAACAAAATCAAGCGCATCGCCAAAGGTAAAGGGTATTCAAAGTATAAGAAATTCGTGAGTCGTAATATATAGAGCCGCATGTAAAAAACCAAACATTTTACTCCTTCGAAACCGTAGACGACGAGCGCTGCCTTGCCGCATTCCGTTTTTTCGCGTCCTCCAACGCCCTGCGCAATCGCTCTCGATGTTCAGGGTCACTTTCCATTTTCCTCGCTGCTATTGGCATCGTACTAGCAGGTCGTACGGGGTTGGGCAGCGATACGTCGTAAAGCTGACTGGCCGGAATGACGTCCGAGGGGATCGGTTGGTCTGGGAAAGGCGTTTTGCCTATAGTCCGCAGAGCGTCGTTGATGCTAGCCGTGATCTTGGCAGGGCCGACACGGACACTCCGCAGCTTGGTTCGAAGGTTTTCTTGGATCTTGGTGTCCTCCTTTTTCTTCTCTGCTTCGAGCTGACGGAATACCCCGGGTTCTGCGTTAGAGTAGCGGGCTTCAGCGACGGAGACGTTGTAGTCTGCGTTGTTGAGGGCTGAATCGGCCTCGCCGAAACTGTGGAGAATAGACTCTGAGTCTTTTTGCAGGTACTCGACCAGACTGTGCACCGATTTGAGCACTTGCTCAATCTCCGTGTCTGGTAGCCCAGACGAGCGGATTGCGGCTTCGTCCACCCGTGTCACTTTAGCTAGGAGCTCGTCAAGGACACTCTGGTTTTCGCCTAATCCTCGCATAATAGCATCGTCAAACAGGTCCATGAGCTTGTTTACACGGTCATCGCGGCCCCTTGCAGCTTCCAGGATATTCTGTTTCTCCATCTGGTCAAAGTCATGGTCCAGTTTCTTCAATGCCGCAGAGTCACCCATGAAAACAAGAGGTCGTCTTTCGGCTTTCTTTCGTCGACGCTCACGGTCCAAGGCAATTTCTAAACGCTTGTGGTGCCTCATCTCGAGCCTAGTGTGGATCTCGTTCACAATTTTCATGGTGTGCGATGTACTGTGTTTGTCCGCGGCCTCTTCCTTGTTGGTGTTCTCACGGTCAAGGTGGCTCAGCGCGGAGTCATAATGGACTTGAAGAACGGATATCTCCTCCTCTAGCCGCTGGTCCACTACATTAAACACATTCGTAATAAAATGTTCGAGCTCCTCTCGCTCCTCCTCAAGTTGATTGCGTGCTTCCGTTTGGCGGAATTCTTCTTCCAGAATGTTGATATCTGCATAACCGATTTCCTTTCCATTGAACAGCGCATCAACATGGCTTTCGGACTCCTCTTGGCGTTTGATGCGTTCTTTATCTAGATTCTCCCAGCGACCCTTGCTCGTCGCTTCCCATGGTTTAAACGTCTCGCGCACGAAGCTGAAATCGTTAGGAAACTTTTCCAAGTCTTTCCTGACCGTAGTATGCCACAGACTTTCAGACTGCTTAGTGATAGGCGTTGAAGTTACTGTGCGTAAATCTTCAACCGGCCCAGATTGCTTGCCTTGTCGGAGAGACGCCGGTAATGGTGGCGGCGTTGAAGTCTGTGGAGGCCTATTCCGATAGTTGACACTTTTTTCTCTGATTAAGCCGACAAAAGTCTCATCGTGTTCGTGTTGGATAGACGATGCAGTGTTAGACCTTTCCCTGTTGCCTTCAGAAGGTGTTTGCGCTGGTGCGTCCGCCATAACACGCCCACTTTCTGCAGACGCCTGTCGCAGAGCAGAATAGGCTTGATATGCCGGACGGTCGAACGATAGCTTGTCGGAGCCTCTTTGAGGTCCCTCGGCATACCGGAACGGTGTGTAAATCCGCTGCGGAGGATTGGTCGTGAGAGGAGAATAGGCCATCTTAGGATCCTCGTTTATCATGGTAGGTGGTACTGATGTAGCACGCGGCGTATTTCCTGCGAGAGCGTGACTCGCGCTATACTTATGACCTCCTGGATTCGATGCTGACCTATGAATCGCTGCTGGCTGAGGGGTATGAAGCCGCGGAAGTATTGGGCGTCCACCAGGACTATAACTACCGTCTTCCACATTGTCTGGGTCGTTGGCTGGTCCAAAATATCCCTCCTCAGACTCCACTGGTATCAACCCGGATTCATCTGGCGTAGGTTTCGGCTTATTCTCTTCGAGCGGCTTGTTCTCCTCGGCAGGTTTGCTTTCTTCGGACTCCTTTGTTTGCGCAATAATCGGTTGCTGAGTATTCGTAGCAGCCTCACTATCATGCTCGATATTGTAAAGGATCTCACGAAGTTTTGTCTCCTTAGACATGAAGGCTGTGAATATCTTAAAACGCTCTTCAGTCGAGTCCGCCACGGCTTCCTTTCGCAGCATTGCAACATAGCGTTCAAGAGAGGATTGCGACCATGAATCAAGATCCTCATAGCGATCTACTTGCCTAGATGGTGGTCGAGGAGATTCCGACTTTTGCGCAGGCTCACTGATAGTCTCCTTGGCGCTGCTTGTTGGGTTAGTTGGCGTTTCCTTACCAGATGCTAGAGGTTCCGGCTGTATCGCTGGAGTGGTTTGAATGGGACTTGGGGTGAGGTGTGGCGAAGTCCGTTCTGGTTCGATTCTCGAACTAGGGTGTATTGTCGATAGCTGATTATCGGTGGAAACAGGGTTACTCCATGCCTCAATAACGCCGTCAATGTTTTCCGAATTCGCAACAGCCGATACTGAGGAATAATCTGACCCAGTGCTGTCCATCCTAACAGGGTGAGAGGGGGGTTGATAATCCTCTCGAGAACTTGGACTGACAGGTGAGTGCGTCGAATGATACTGAGATGTTTCCGCAGACTTTGATGGAATATATTCCGGGTTCGAAAATGACGGAGCTGGAGAGTGGCTGTTGGGAGTCATGGACGTGTCTCCAGCCTCTTTGCTCGGAGTCAATCCATGGCTTGGGGGGTCTTTCCTTGGCTTGAAGGAAGATGTATCATCAATGTCACCTACAACCGGAGATAGATGCTCCCAATCAGATGGCCCTCCACCGCCCAATGCGGAAGCTCCCGTTGGTATCATCAAAGGACTAGCTTTCGGGGGTACAGGTGGTGGAGGTGCTGGTAAATTGGCAGAGGACGGGGACTGTGACATAGTGGCTCCTGGAGGAGGTGGACCAGCCGGTTGGGCAATGGCATTGAGCTTTTGGTAGAAGCTAGGTGCTGGAGGGACTGAGGGCGGGGGGCTCGATTGGTTAGGGACGGCAGGTTGGTATTGGCCCTGAGGCACGATTGGAGGCGCCGGAGAAGGACTTTGTTGGCCAGTACCAGTACTTGTAGGATAATACTGACTCGGTGGTGCGTTCGGATAGGAGGCCGCTGACGGTTGATTCCACGCCTGCTGAGCCTGTGGTGCCGTAGACAATGGGGGTGCAGTATTCTGATAAGCGGACGCATCGACGGCTGGCGGGGGAGGCGGCGGTGGAGGGGGAGGAGGAGGAGGGGGCAACGAGGTAGGAGGTTGCTGGGGAATATAGGGAGAGTTCGATGTCCACTGCTGATAATAGTCCCCATGCGATACTTGGCCCCCATAGCTCGGGGCAGCTATTGAAGGCTGGTAGGATGCGGAGCTCGTTATCGGGGAATGAGCAGACTGTTGTCCAGAAGCGCTTGAAGTTCGAGGCTAAAGTTTGTTAGTATGGAAATAATAATATTTTAGGCGAAATCAAGACTCACTGGTAACGGAGGAGGGGGAGGAGTCTGCAGATGATTCTGCCTATTGTAATTCACACCCCAGGTTGCTGTGTTGACACCAGGAAAACCAGACACTGGCGACGCATTTGCGCCGGAATACCCTGGAGACGTTCCATGGCTAGGACCGTGAGCGCTTGGGTTATAGGATGGAGGCGGTGGTGGTGGGGGACTCGCAACGCCTGCGTGCGATGGCCTCGGGGGTGCAGCCGGAACTCGCCATTCTGGGGCAGGGGGCGCAGAAGTCGGTGGCCGGTTAGCATTCGAATATTGATGTGAGCCGGACATCGTCTCGAAATGAGCTCTGCTGGAGCGCAGGAAGCGCTATCGCAAGAGGGCGGTTAGGTGTTCGTTTGTTGACGCAGTGCGGGGAAAGGATCGATCGAAGGATTCAGTGATAGAAACGGCTGTCTAGAGTCGGAAAGCGTCGCTTGGACGATAAATGGGCCGTTAGCTGTGAAACACAACCCCTCCATACGGCTCGAGGCGCCTTTGAGGGAGGTGAAAGAAAAGGAGGTCGCAAAAGGAGAGGCTGTGGCCAAAAGTGGATGAAGATGATGGCTGAGCACAAGGCTTTAAGGCAGCTGAGCTACGCTCTGTCAAGTAACTGTTTGTACATCACTCCACATCAAGCCTCTACTATTTTTCACTCCTCTGCCTCCTGAAAACATTTGATAGTATTTGCATCTCAGGCTGTTATATTCCCCAACCTGCGTTACTTTTGTTTCTGTTGTCAAGAGACGCATCGCATGACCCGTATGCATACTGATGGCCAAGCGTCACATGGGGTTCGCTTATGCCCAACCCGATGACCTGCATGGGTCTAGAATAATCTCCAGGTGGATATATTAGGCTACAATGGTACAATTGGAAGGCGACAGTATAACCCAGACCAAGTGTTGAAAGAATACAAGACCCACTTTCATTATATGCATACAAAACATACACTCAAAAATCAAATAGTAAAGTACAGGTAAATCCACCGGTTTCTCTCACGGTATACCATAGAGAACAGGCCAAGGTCCAAAAGGACGAAGATGGAGAGTAGTACACAGAATCAGCACCAAATTCCCATGCTCTATAGAGGAAACATCATCTATGAAGCCACCCTCACCCGTCTACCCAGCTTCTCAAGCTCACCAATAACACCGCCACCAGCGAGCGTCCACTTCTCACTAGCCCATTCGTCGCTGACTGTCTCCCTCAGAAGACCGCTACGCGCGAAGTATTCCAGGAAACCGCGAGCCTCATCTCTGGTCAACCCGCCGAGCTCCTGGACACTCAGCATGCCTTCCTTGGCAACTGTAGGTTTCGGGAAGTTGAAGGCCTCGAGGATGCGCGGATCCGGGTAACTGTAGGCGTTGGGAAGTGGGAACTCTGGGGAAGAGGGGTCCACGCCAGCGTGGCGAGCTGCAACTTGCTTCACCGCAACGTCGAAACCGTGAATAGACGGGTTGTTGGACGTTGAGGTAGAGTAGAGGATAGCTCCACCATTGGGAAGGGTAGATGTTCCTTTCCCGGGCTTTAGCAAGTCAAGGAAGTGTCGCACAAAAACAAGGTCGTGGGCGTGAATAAGCTCGAATTTGGCGCTGCGGTACGCAGATTTTTGCATCCAGTGACCGAGGCCGTCAACAGTAACTAACATAGGGGGGCGGGGTGAGAAGTTCTTTTCGAGACCCGAAGTGGCGGATGTTGCTGTAAGTTCTTTCCATAGCGCTTGGAAAACAGGCCACGCATTTGCTTGATCCTGAACACCGACTTTGGCCAGGTCCGCCAACGTCATGCCGGGCTTGACAGTAGGCAAGGTAGGGTGTTGCTGAGAGACATTCAGTTTAGAAAGAACCTTCTCGTTGGCGGTAACAGTGCGAGATAGAAGTGACGCCGTTGCCTCGTTCTGGACATATAGGTCGGGGTTCTCGTCGGAAATTGGTGCATAGCCGGTAATCCCAACAACCAGATCCCGAGCTAATTTCAATATCAGTAACCATGAAACGGGATATTGACGGCTAAGAGCAAAAGCTTACCATCAGGAACCGTGATGACAACCCAATCCTTGGTGAATCCCATAGCCATGGCCTGAAGCAAGTGAACACTCTTCCCTGTCTTTTTCGGCCCCGTGACAATCTTCTTAACAACAGCTCCCTTACCCTCGCCCTCACCGGAGATATTTTCAAAGGCTCTACCCATCTCCAATGTTTCCCGTCTCAAAACAGTCCCGGGACGGCGGAAAATTGACCAGCCCTGGTTAGGCTTGAAAGCCTGCACAGCCCTCAACTGATCAATCATCGGCACCGGGAGGGCGAGAACTGTGCCGCGAAGACGCGAATCCACCATAGTCTCCCCCGATAGTTCCTGCATACCTTCGATTTCAAGAGCATTTGGGTTGCTGAGGACAATGCGTTTGCGGGCAGCTTTGCGTTCCCCAACGGCCGGAGGACGTGTCTTCTCAACGGGCTTCTTCTTCTTTATCTTGGCAGACCGTCCCTCACGGTACTTGGGACCAGATTGGTCACCCGCCTTCTTCTTTAACGGATTGGCATAGTTAATGGCGGACGTGTGAAATGCCGGTCCTCGGGGCAGGGTGGTCGGCGATGATAAAATGGCGCGAGGTGTCTGGTGAAGCCGCGTCAGGCAACTCCGGCAAAAGGAAGAAACCATTGTGATGTGATACACCGGCGCAATGGCCAGTGTTCCAACAGGCAATGGCGGCGAAAATGCGGTTGAGGTAGTGGAGGCTGGACGGGGGTTGTCGCCGCAAGACCGGAGAGACAACTGGAAAGTCGGAGCACAATTTTGGCTGTTCCTCAATCCTCAAATTACCTACTACGGGTTAGTGTCCTTGCTGCTGTAAGGGGCGGTGTGTCCAAAGCTCCTCCACCTAGTAAAAGCGGCGCTCCGAAATTATCCCCGAACTTTTTTTCTGTTTTCCCGCCTTTGATAATACTCTCGAATATCGAAGATTTTCTTTTCCAACCATTTCTTAACAGCTGCGCTGCACCCATTCTATCTCTATACTCGAGATGGCAAACCCAGCGACAGAGGCGAAATCGGCCTCCAAATCCAAGCCAGAGAGACTGTAAGTCCAGAATTCACTCATCCTATCAATCTTCCCAATCCACATGCACCCATTCAATTACTTACAAACGCAACAGGCCCATCACCGTCTCCAAGCCCACCCCATACACATTTGATCTGGGCCACCTTCTTGCAAATGACCCTAACCCGCTTGAACTTCCGCGCTCCGAACCCCTCAATGGATCCTTAAAAGCCACCGCCCGAGATGGCGTGCAGAGCCTCCTCAACCAACTCCTAACAACCTGCCAAATCACCTCTTCGCAGCAGGGTGTCCTTCTTTCCCTCCCACAACCCTCAACGACTCTTCCCCGACACAAGCCGCTCCCAACACCCAAGCAGCCTACCAAGTGGGAACTATTCGCGCGCAAGAAGGGCATCGGCAAGTACAACAACAAGCCTGGTGCTGCGCTTGCGGATAAAGAGCGCCGGAAGAAGCTGGTCTACGATGAGGAATCGGGCGAGTGGGTGCCGCGCTGGGGGTATAAGGGCAAGAATAAGGCTGATGATGAGTGGTTGGTTGAGGTGAAGGAGAAGGACTGGAAGAAGGAAGAGGACGCTGCGGCCCAGGGAAGTTCGATTCGTGGTATGTCCCGTGCCGAGCGGAAGGAGAGGATACGACGGAATGAGAGGAAGATGAGATCGAATGAGCGGAACGCAAAGAAATCTGGAGGACGATAAGTGGTCGTGGACTTGTGGTGGATGATTGAAATTTTCTTTTCACAAAGTTAAAACTCTTGCTTGGGGATTCTGTCTGATATCTGGTATGCTGGATTTATCTGGGCGTCTGGAGTGGTATCGTGGGTTCTGAGGTTATAGGTTGTCCTCATATTAGGGCTAGAAAAAGCAATATTACCCTTTCCTACAATTTCGCCATACTCAGGCCTATGGTCACTTCCCTTGTGGCATCGCATTTTCTAATGGTCATTCTAAGTTCTTCAGATGCCGGGTAGCGGGAAACTCAAACTCTCCTGGTTTATTCTACAACTTACATACATAGCTGTAAGAACCGAGGCGCAATGCAGGATCAGAGTTCAATATACTAGTGAGATTTAATGCTATGAAATGCCACAACATGGCACCAATATTCAACGATAGGACCGGTTGCGGAAGGCTCCAAAACACATACATGAAATGAAAAAAAAAAAAAGTGGCATGTGCAACGATATGCGATAGCCAACGCTGCCAGGCAGGCAAAAAGACGACTCTAAAAAGGAGAAAGCATCCAAGGAAAGTAGTAGACCGGAGGGAAACGATTTCTACAGCCAGAAGAAAAGGAGATAAGAAAAAAGCAATAGCAGGCCAACGATAACCAACTCCCAACAGCGCCAGATATGCAGTGCCCTGAACGAATTAGGAACAAAGAAGTCATATAGAATGAGATGCACGCAAAAGTCAACAAAAGTACAGAAGATCAAGATCGAGACGAAAACATCTGCAAAAAGATCGCAAAGGGTCGAAAGAGACGTTAATATACAATCTCAGCCATGGTTTCGATCCACGGTTCCCGCCGAAGATCTTGAACGGCGCGACCTACACGCCGGATCGAAGAATGGTAAAGGATAGATAGGCCAGCCTATTGGGTTTAAACATAGCCAACCCCCATCAGGATGCGTGATACGCAGTGGGATGCCCGAATTGTCACAGACAACGGATATTCAACAAAACCAACTCATATCCGGATTGGAGAAAGAGGTGGTCCAAGTTCCGGGAGTTGAGAAATGCTCCTCGCATGAGATGTTTCAATATTCTGAGGCTTTTTCTTGTTTTTCTTCGGTGTTTCTGGGCGAGGAGGTGCCTCATAAGTGCTGTTTGTGCTGCTACCGGAAGAGACAGCCCTTTCATCGACACTGGGCTCTTGGGCTTGCTTTTCTTTCTCGGCACTTTCTTTCTCATCCATTTCCTTCTCACGCTTGAGATATTCCTTCTCTGTCCAGCATCCCTGCCAGCAATTTTTCCAGTCGCAAACCAGAAGTTTGAAGCAGAAAGCATCGATCTTCATGCAAGGCTGAAAACAGATGCAAAGGTTTCGGTAGTCCATTTTATTCTGGTCAACGTACGAGTGAAGAAGATTCAGATGGCATGTTATAGCAAAGAGAAGGTAGTAATGGTAAGGAGGCAATTTTGAGAGCTCATCCTTTAGCATTTGCGGGGCGGTCGTGGCACCCTCGCACTTCTCTGCGATCATTGCTTGTGTCTCCTTGGGGAATAGTTCG